AATATTGTCTCTGATTTACTTTATTCCATGGGTATCATGTCAAAATACTATTAAAAGCAAAAGGAAACACAGAGAGTGAACACTCATATATAAACATGTACTTGAGGTCGTAAATATCCATCAAATATAATTTAATAAATGAAGAAATATCCTTTGTATTTGAGAGAAAGGTAGTGTCTAAAATCATACTGCAAATGTGAACGTCAAGCTAAAATAAGGCTTACTATATTCTAGCTGAATACTTTCCTCTATTATTACATGCTGCTTTTCCTGAACTACTAAGGTTAGGGATAAGAAATCTCCTGAGAAGCGTTGAAAAATATTATTCCTTACTTGACATGATCAGAAACGAGGAAATATCAAGGAAAGGTAAATGAGAAGAGGAGGCGATATGAGAGTATGTCTGAACACTCAAGTGGGAGTCCACAAATGTCCAGAACGGATGACTGATCACTGTTGATTGTTCATTGGTCACTGGTCACTTGTGATGATCCAAATTTGTTTACAAACAACTACAAGGCAGCCCTAAGATTCTACCAGATGCTGGTAGGTTTGGTGGGAGAATGATGTCATAAAGCAGGCATAAAGGTAGAGGCTAGCCAATAGGGAGGTCAAATTCCCAAGAAGAAGACTAGATTGGATAGACTGAGAGGTAGACTTAAGCAGGCAAGAGAGATGGAATCTTACAAGACAGTTATAACAGTTTCACATTCCTTAGACTCTTAGGTTAGGGAAATACTCCTATAAACTGATGAGCTTACATATTTCATTAAAAAATCAACAGGTACTAGGTAATAATTTATATTGCCTAGTTAACCAATAACAAGTTACTACTCTTTTATTTTGTATAGTGTTTAATAATAAAAAATAAATTACATGCTAATGCTTTATGATATACATTATTACTTTAGCGGTAGAAAATGATGGATTATTATGAGAAATATTCCCTTAGCAAAACCCACTAATTTTAGCATGTTCCGCTAGCAAACATGCACCCAGAAAAGAATAGTAGGCAAGGATAGAATAGATGACACAGTATCTGCCAGCTGTAAACTTGTGTCAGGCAAAGATAGACTAATTCTTTGTAGGGTTTTTTAGATTTACAGGACAACATAGCCAAAACTAGAATAAACAAATTTCAAAATCTTTTATTTATTTATTTTGATTTTGGGTCCTAACCTAGCCATGCTCAGGGCTTGCTCCTGGCTCCTCACTCAGGAATCACTCCTGGAGGAGCTCGGTAGACTGGGTGCAAGAGAGGTACCCTGCCCACTGAATTCTCTCTCCTGCACAAACAACTTTGAATTTTACTCATCCTTACTGATTCTCTGTGAATTACACTAGCCTCTGCTCTCCAGGTCCCTGTGACATGTTTATATGCTTCATAACTGTCCTTGATGTCTCTGTCAACTACAACATTGGCTCACCTGTTGCAATCTGCTGGGGTTGGGGGAGCAATATTGCATTATACTGACATGCCATGAGACTACTGATGGCTGCACAGGTGACCCTAAAGCTAGGTCAATCTGCTTGTTTGTCTACTTATGTGTTTGTCTCACTCTCATTGAGTGACCGCTGCTGAATGGAGATTCAAAGTGACAATTAGATTTGGCAGATGAGAAACAATTTACACATATTATAACCAATCGTTATGATCAACAAATTTTACCGTCTATTAGAAAATCGCAAGTAGTATGGGATATTTTGGAACCTATAAAAAGAATCAGGAAGAACACAATAAACACTTGAAGTCAGTTTTAATTTATCATAGTGTCCTCATCTGGATCAAAGTGATAATCCAGTGGGAAACGCACTTGCCTTGCACATGGTCGACCTGGATTCAATCCCTTCCATCCCAATATGTATGTTCCCTTGAACCCTTGAGGATTGTCTTCATACATGACAAGCACCCTACACACTGTACTATCAATCCAGCCCAGGAAGTGTGTGTGTATGTGTGTTATGTGTGTGTGTGTGTGTGTGTGTAGAGGGAGAGAGAATTTGGGGTAGCCCCAGTGATACTCAAGTACTCCTGTCTCTGTGCTCAGGAGTGACTCCTGGTGCTACTAATGGGACTATATGTTGTGCTGGAGATAGAACCAGGATCAGTCACATGGAATATTAATATATTAAGCCCTACATTATTCCTCAGTGCTGGAGCAGAGATATATTTTTGAAGTGAAAAAAAGATGAGCCAGTAGGAGTCAGTGCAAAGACAGAATCAGGAACTTTGCTGGGGAAGGATCACCCAAGTGGCCAGGGACGGATTTCATACTACAAATGCAGAGATGAGTAGAGACAGAGACAGATCCTCAAAGAGTAACCAATTGACTAGATGTCCTTTTTTAAATAGAAAGTATTTGCTGATCCCTAATTAGCTAAAGGAAGAAAGAAAGGAAGACTGAGAAGAAGAAAGAGAGAAAGAAAGAAGAAAGTAAGGCATATGTAAGGAAGAAAACATGGATAGAAGGAAAGAATGATGGAAAGTAGAAAGGAAGCAGGGAATAAAGAAAGGATGGAAGGAAAATAGGAAGGAAGGAAGGAACAAAAGGAAGGAAGGAAGGAAGGAAGGAAGGAAGGAAGGAAGGAAGGAAGGAAGGAGGAAATTTTCAGTTGCTAGGGCTGGCTCCATTGGACAACCCTACTCCCCTCTGGGATGCCCTGAATAAAACAGGCTGGCATAGGGTCTAGGGCCATGTCTATGGTGTACTGTTCTGTGCTCTATTCTGAGAGATTAATTGTTGAGTCTCTGGATCACAGCCATTGATGAGATTATATGGTGCCAGAGGTGGTTTGTGGGTATGACTGCCAAGCTGTTGAGAACAGGGAGAGTTTGGGAGAGATCACCCATTCTCTGTTTTCATTGAGCCTGGAGTTTTCAGTCAGAAGTCCCACATAACCGAGTTTTTCTGCATATGACTCATAGATGAGGCTAGTCCACAATTGCCGATAGTGGCCATGATCATGGCTTTCAGTTCTGGAGGTTTTTGTCTGCTGGGGCTAGGTCCATTGGGGCGGGGAAGGGATGGGACTCTAAATAGATTTTGAATCATTTTTATTTATTTTCTTATCTTCTTTTTTTGAGAGTTCTCTTGATTGAATCTTTACATTTTTTAAATTTTATTTTTCTGTATCACCGTGAGATATAGTTACAAGCTTTCATGTTTGAGTTACAAACATACAATGTTAAAACACCCATCCCTCCACCAGGGCACATTCCCCACCACAAATCTCCCCAGTATACTGCTCCTTTCTGGCCTTCCCCCTGCCTTCATGGCAGACAATTTTCCACATCCTATCTCTTCTATCTCTTTGAGCTTATATCTTTGATGCTAGAGCAATTCTAACAAAATATTATCAACTAATGCCTCTTAATATGCTTAAAACTGTGGCTTGTATACAGTGGATACTTCATAAGATCTTACTGTTTGCAGGGGCACCCCAAAATTCTCAGAGGTTACTCCTGGCTCGATGCTCAGTAATTATGCCTGGCAGTGTTTGTCGAAAAATATGGGAAACTTTAGACTGAACCTGGATAGGTCCCTGACCAAGCCAATTACCTATCTGCTTTACTATGAGTTATTACTACATTTAAATTTAGTAAATATTTTGACTCTGCCTGGCCAAGCTGAGTTCGATTCCTTTGCCCCTCTCAGAGAGCCCGGCAAGCTACCGAGAGTGTCTCACCCACACAGCAAAGCAAGGCAAACACATTAACAGCAAGTCTCACAAGGGAGACGTTACTGGGCCCGCTTGAGCAAATCGATGAACAATTGGAGGACAGTGCTACGGTGCTATGTGCAAGATGAAATTTCTAGTGATTTATAGACTGATGTGTGAGTACTGTGAATAGCAGAATATTCCACTATTCGATACTCAATATTATAAGTTTGCCCTGATTCAAACATGATCTTACGTGGTCTTGCTCTATACACTTTCATTTTTTGACAACCAACTGTTTTCTAATGATCACAGTCCTAAGCCTCTGGCTTAGTGCTGGACTCACATGATGCATCTCTCCACAGGGCATCTTTGGGGCTTTCAGCATTCAGTTTTCAGCATGCGCCTTGTGGACCATGCTGAATTTTATTAGTGAACACCTGATAATTGAATACAGAAACCTCTGAGATATTCTTCATTTTGTTTTCCTCTTCATATTTTTCCACACTCAGAATTGTTGCTTTGACTCTTAGAAAGATTTTTAAATTTAATTTTATTTTTATACAATTATTCACAATATTTGAGTGCATTTAATATTCAAACACCAATACACCACCATCACACCTTCTCATCACCACATTTCAAATGTTTCCATCCCAAACCTAAAACCTTGCCCTAACGCAGAGACAAAAAAATTACTTTTGCACTGCTTGTTATGAATAATTCGCTAAAAATGATCCAAAAATTGTTTCTTAGAGGAAAGTATGTCAAGGTGGTTGTTTTTAACCAGGAGCCATTAAGCACTTCTATAACAGATTAGTAACATGTTGTTAAGTTTTAGCCTTGTGTGCATATCTGTCTGTCTGTCCATCTATCTTTCTGTATAAATATATTTCCTTTAAGATTGGTTTCCTTCTATTCTATGTTTTTTTAATTTTTTAATGCATCACCATGAGATTCAGTTAAAGATTTGCAAACTTTCGTGATTACATTTCGGTCATAAAATGATTGAGTACGCATCTCTCTACCAGTGCCTATTCTCCACCACCAATGTTTCCAGTATACCTCCTGCCACCCCCACACAATCTCTCCCACCTGCCTTTGTGGCAAACACATTCCCATTTACTCTCTCTCCTTTTGGGTGTTATGGTTTGCAATGCATATAGCAAATGGCCATCATGGTTGCTCTATAGTCTACTCTCAGCAGGAATCTAACATCCTGAGTGAGCCCTCCAAGAATCATTTAAATAGTGGTCCCTTCACAGCGGGGCATATGCAAGGGTGCAGTGGCTGCAGTGGCTGTGTTGGCTGCGGAGCTGACAAGAAACTCCTAAATTTCCTCTGGGAGTGAAGTGGAATTTCTTAAGAACATCATGGATGGAGAAGAGAAAACCTATGGTGGCTATGAAGGCCCTGATGCTATGTGTGTCAAATTAATATCCTCTGATGGTCTTGAGTTTATTGTAAAAAGAGAACATGCGTTAACATCAGGAACAATAAAAGCCATGTTGAGTGGCCCAAGTCAGTTTGCTGAAAATGAAACCAATGAAGTCAATTTTACAGAGATCCCTTCACATGTGCTATCCAAAGTGTGCATGTATTTCACCTACAAGGTTCGTTACACTAACAGCTCCACTGAGATTCCTGAATTCCCAATTGCACCTGAAATTGTACTGGAATGGCTGATGGCTGCGAATTTCCTAGATTGTTAAAGAAAATAAATTATAATAAACTGTTAACTTTTTTCAGGATTTAATACCCGTAGTTCAGTTAGTAACTTTTCATATTTAGCATGTTGCCTGTGTGTAATTGAACTTTTAATGTTCATTGCCAAGCAGATTATCTTCTGTTCTTTTGCATAGCAATCAGAGCTGACATTCGTTTGCTACATCAGTAAACTAAGGACATCTTCAAAAACTGAGAAATAAACTAATATGCCAATTCATAGGTGGTTTTGCATTAGATTTTGGATGTGATTTTTTTAATTAATGGTGGTACAGTAAATGCTAAAATTTAGGCATAGATGTACATGTTCTACAAGAAAATAATTTGCTCTGTATTTTTATGTTTTGTTTTTTAAACTATCCTGATCTTCTAGACATCATTCGTAGCATTATTCGTTATGCAAATGTTGCATTATAAACATGTTTATAACTTAGCCAAGACTTCAATTTTTTATAACTGTCAAAGACATAAGAGTTGTAATTTCTTATCTGTCTTTTGATAAACTGCTCGAGCTCGAGCGGGCCCAGTAACGTCTCCATTGGAGACTTTGTTGTTACTGTGTCTGGCATATCGAATACTCTCGGTAGCTTGCCGGGCTCTCCGAGAGGGGCGGAGGAATCGAACTCCGGTCGGCCATGTTGGCTGCGTGCAAGGCAGACGCCCTACCCGCTGTGCTATCGCTCCAGCCCACTGCAGTATTGTTTAAATGTTTCTTGTCCTTTTGTTTATAGCTGAGATTTAAGAACTTGATTTAAAAGCAGTTTTGGAAGATTACTAGTCAGTTTTTGGAGCTAGTAACTGCATGTAGTCAACAGGTCAGTTACATGACTGATTAAATGTGTGTTGTTCATTTTAACCAATTCACAGTATGTACTTTACTATAGTTATTTCCCCCAATATTCATTCTTCCATAATTCCTTATTGTGTTCACATTTTTGTATTTTTGTATTAACACTTACCTTACTAGACCTTAAAAACTAGACCAGCCTGAATTATTCTATTCTTGCCCATTCCATTTGTATTATTTATGAGAAACATTTTGAGATACACAATGCAATGCTTACAATATACTTTGTTACACATAATCATCTATTTAAATTTATCATCCCGAGTGAATATGACAATGATGATTGGTGGGTCTTTTACCCACATGTCGTGTGAACTTAAACTTAATAAGGAGGTCAATAAGCTCTCTTACTAAACATACCAAAAATATTAAAAACCATGACAGTATAGCTGATGTGAAGTTATGGTAAAAGAAGCACTGAACGTGAGTTTATATTTCCTTTATCTTGTAGTTACAACAATGCTGTCATTATAGAGTCTCTAAATTAAGCTTTCAACTTAGTTCTTCCAGATGGGTTTATTATGGACCAGTTTTTCTGGCAACTGCAACCATCAAGAACCTAGTCTCTACAAGCCTCCTGCGTGCCTAGGTCTGGGGCAACCTTGTGCATTCCTGTAATGCTTAGATGAGGCCAGAGCAAGGTTATAGTAACTTCACTTAATCACACTTAATCACTTAACTTCCCGTTAGTCGTCGATTTGCTCGAGCGGGCGCCAGTAACGTCTCCATTTGTCCCTGTCGCGTGCTAGTGTAGCCCAATGGCATCTCTTCGCTCCGGGAACATGGAGGGCCTCAAACCGATCGTTCATGACCTTGACAAAGAAGTCTGACCATCTGGTAGGTGGCGGCCACGCGGTCTCTTGACATCCCGTGGAATCCAATCAGTAACAGCTCTAGTCCAACGGTCGTCTTTAAATCTCATTACGTGACCAGCCCATCTGATTTTCGACACCTTGGCAAATGAGACAGCGTCCCTGATCCTTGATCCTTGATAGTAACTTCAGAAAATTAAAAACAACCAACACTAAAACACTATCCTCCCGTTGTTCATCAATTTTCTCGAGCGGGCCCAGTAACATCTCCATTGTGAGACTTTGTTGTTACTGTGTTTGGCATATCGAATATGCCACGGGTAGCTTGCCAGGCTCTGCCGTGCGGGTGAGATACTCTCGGTAGCTTGCCGGGCTCTCCGAGAGGGGCGGAGGAATCGAACTGAGGTCAGCCATGTTGGCTGCATGCAAGGCAAACACCCTGCCGCTGTGCTATCACTCCAGCTGGAGCAATAGCACAGAGGTAAGGTGTTTGCCTTGCGCAGTCAGCCCAACCGAGCCAGGTTCTATTCCTCCGCCCCTCTCAGAGAACCTGACAAGCTTGAGAAAAACAACCAAGAGTTTTAAAATTAAATTTTACTCTTTAAAGACCTAATGTTGTAATTTCTAGTTTATGAAAGTAGTGAAGTAAACAACATACATGTTAATTGCATATATTTTAGTAATTTCATAAGACATATGGGTACATATTTTAGTATAAACAACTCAAGATCAGAACTCTATTCTGTTACCTAGTGACAAGTAATGTTAACTATAAAAACCTAAACTACCAACAGAACTGTCAAGGTTCTAGACAAGTTAACTAGAAATAGTTAACCTTGGCCAACTTTAGTGAGTTACTTTGTGTTAGATTCAGAAGTAACTCTAGGTTTAAAACATTGTACTAGAAGATTAGGAAAACCTGTATATTGGTCAAACGGTACTTGCATGTTAATAAAGGCTCAAATGATTGAAAGATTGGAACACTTTGTATTTGATTGTTTTGGCCTTTCTTTGAGGATTTATGAAATTAGGATATCTTTCCATACTTAGGTCATGGGAATTATTTGATTAAATTTAAGAAGTGATCACAATCATGATCCCGACCATCCTGTTGTTCGTGGATTGCCTCGAGCAGGCCCCAGTAATGTCTCTCCTTCTTTCAAGCCCTGAGATTTTTTACAAAGTGCCATATTCAGGGCTCTTTCAGGGTTAGGAGAATGAGACCCATCATTGTTACTGGTATTTGGCATATTGGGTACGCCACGGGGAGTTTGCCAGACTCTGCCATGTGGCAGGTTACATTTGGTAGCCTGCCAGTTTGTCCAAAGTAGGAATGAGGTAATTCGCGGCCGTGCACTTCCAGGAGCTGTGTTTTAGTTTCTGAGTCTTGGCCGTTGATGGGATTACACGGCGCCAATGGGCCAGTTGGTGGTTGTGACCTCTGCCTACTGGAATTTGGAGGATCTCTGTGGAGGATGCTCAGCCCTGATCTGAGCAGGCTTGGAGATCTCAGCCCCGGGACCCGCATGGCTTTGTTCCTCTGCTGGTACTTTCATGCGTGTGGAGAGTGGTCTCAGCATGATGGTGGCTGGTTCTGGAGGTCTTCGGCAGCCAGATAACTGGTCGGGGCAGGGAGGGAAACTCAACCCATTCCTCTCCAAGGGGCCCTGGCGAGGACAGCCAGGTGCGGGGGCAGGAGAAATGATCTTAAAAATATAGTGGTCCCTTCTCTATTCTATCTGTCAGTCTCCCAACTGTTACATTATTTTCCACAAATAAGTGCAGTCATTCTATGTATGTTCCTCTCTCTCACTGAATGATTTCTCTTAGCATGACACTCTCTATATTGATGCACATATATGCAGATTTCATTATTTCACCTTTTCTAAAAGATGCATAGTATTCCATTGTGTAGATGTACCAAAGTCGTTTTTAACCAGTTTTTACCTTTGTTTTTACCTTTCTCGGGCACTTGGATTTTTTTTTCAGATTCTGGCTATTGCAAAGAGTTCTGCAATGAATGTACAAGTGCAAATGTCATTTCTACTGTAATTCTTTGCATCTCCAGGATATATTCCCAGAAGAGGTATTGCGGGGTCAAATGGGAGCTCAATTTCTAGTTTTTTGGAGAAACGTCCATATTGTTTTCCAAAAAGTCTGTGCCAGTCAGCATTCCCACCAGAGGATAAAGAGAGTGCCCTTCGACTCATATCCATGCCAACACTGGTTGCTTTAGGTCTTTTGGGTATGTACCAGTTTCTCTGGTGTGACATGGTATTATTTGTTTGCATCTGCATCTCCCTGATTATTTGTGATGAAGAGCATTTTTTCATGTACCTTTTGGTCATCCAAATTTCTCCTCTGAGAAAGTTTCTGTTTATTTCATTGCCCCACATTCTGATGGGATGAATGTTTTCTTACTGTAGAGTTCAACCAGTGCCTTATATACCCTTGATATTCACCCCTTATCAGATGGGTATTGGGTGAATATCCTTTGTCATTCTGTAAACTGTCTTTGTATTATGCTCAATGATTTTTTTGAGGCACAGAGGCTACTTAGTTTAAGATAGTCCCATTAGTGTATCTCTGTTTCCACTTGCTTGTTCGGTGGCATGTCACCTTTGATAATACTTTTATTTTCAATGACGTGGAGGATTTTGCTGACCTTCTCTTCAATGGACCTTATGGATTCAGATCTGATGCTGAGGTTCTTTAATCCATTTTGATCTGACTTTTTTGCGTGGTTTAGGTACAGGTCTAAGCCCATTTTTTTTGCATGTAGCTGTCCAGTTTTGCTGGGTTCCAAGCTATGGAGCAGACCTCCTGGTAATGATCTCAAATATTCTTGGGTGTTTTCTCCCATTCTGTTATTTAACATTCCCCAGATGAGTGCAGTCTTTCTATCTCTGTTCCTCTTTTTCTGGCTCATTTCACCTAGCATGTTACTGACTATGTTGAACTACTTGTATGTAAATTTCATGACTTCATCCTTTCTAACAGCTGCAGTGTATTCCACTGAAGGATAGAGTATTCTTGGTGAAGCAATCGTTTCATTGATTTTTTTCACTATAACCACCCATTGGCCTAGGACAGTTTCCTTTGATAAGTCGGCTGCAAAAATAAGGGATACTCCTTTGTATGTGATTTCCTTCTTTAGCCTTTCTGCTTGCAGTATTATGTCTCTATCTGTGGTATCCATCATTCTGAATATGATGTCTTGGTGTCTCTTTATCAGAATCTCTTTTAGTAGGTACCTTTCAAGCTCCTTGGATCTGGATGTATGCATTCTCCAGCTTTGGGAAATTCTCAGCAATGATGTCCTTAACAGTTGCTACTTCATTGCTACTTCAACTGCCTCCCCATTCTTCTGAATCTTTGATGATTCTTATGTTGTTCCTTTGAAGTTCATCCTCTAGGTCTCTGATTCACATGAGCTTTTTTGAGATCCTTTCCCATTATATTCCGTTGCCTGTATGCGTTATGCAGCTCATCTTGAATCTCAGTGATTCTGTTTTCAGTGGTGGTCATTCTAATGTTCAGTATGCACACTCTGTTTTTA